GTCAGTTTATGCATTCTCCTAGAGATTCTCATCTAGCTGTTGCAGAAAGGGTTCTGTGCTACTTGAAAGGTACTCTAGGGAAAGGTRTTCTRTTTGCTAAGCATGGTCACATGAAGTTGGAAGCCTTTACTGATGCAGATTGGGCAGGATGTATTGATGACAGAAGGTCCACCTCTGGTTGCTGGGAATATTGTGTCTTGGAGGAGTAAGAAACAATCAGTAGTTGCTAGATCCTCAGCTGAAGCAGAATACAGGGCAATGGCTCATGGTGTGTCAGAATTACTATGGCTACGATCCCTTCTAGAGGAATTGGGGGTGGACTAYGAGAAACCAATGATGCTCTATTGTGACAACCAAGCTGCTATCAACATTGCACATAATCCTGTTCAACATGACAAAACTAAGCACATTGAGGTTGATAGGCATTTCATAAGAGAAAGAGTCTCTTCAGGAAAARTTTGTTTACCATTCATCACATCAGAAGAGCAATTGGCTGATATCTTGACCAAGGGAGTTCCAAGGGGGAAATTGACACACTATATAAGCAAACTGGATATGATTGACATCTATGCTCAGTTTGAGGGGGAGTGTAAAGAGACTGGGCCGAATGGGCCCTAACAACCTCTCTTGTAGTATGTTTTATTTTATGTTGATGGACCACACTTAATGGGCCTGTTATTTATTCTTGTTTATTTCCTTTATGTAACAGCCAAGCTAGCCGCCCACTTAAGGGCATACTTGTCATCATTAATTTTTTAGATCTTAATAAAATAGGGTTAGAGGAGAATGGAGAATTAATTCGACTCCTTCTTCTCTTCGCCATCTTCTTCTCTTATACARYTATTCAGATCTGTTTTATTYTGCTAATCACTGAATTTAAACTTGATATTAGAGGACTGATTTACATCTGTATGGATTAGTAATTTACCCAAATCTGAGGAGATTATTACTTCCCTAGGTAAATAAGCTACTCAAAAATTGTTTTTTTTTTTCATAGGAAAATGAATCGTTCAAGAATATATATTTTACCACGGGACCTATTAATATCGGAAAAGGAACGTGGGTTTATTTGTTTTCCATGTGGAACCTACCAACTTACCCAGTGTTTTCAAACCACTATCAATTCAAACGGTTGGATTGTTTGGCCAGGAGCTATCCAAGCAACTGGTTCCGTTTTACCCTAAACCTGGTCCTTGGCAAAAAGTCGTTGATTTGGTTAGTGATTCATTGATTCGGGCGGTCGAATCGTTGACTTGTTCAATGGTTTTGGCCATTTTTTATTTTAATTGTATTTTTTAATTTTTCAATTCTAAGTTGGAACGAGCCATTTGTTTGAACTAGACGGTTGAACTATCAACTTGGAAATTGGTGGCCAGAACGGTTCCGATTCCAGTTTGATTTTTAAAACCTTTAATTTACCCACCCCTACTTCTAATAAAATGAGCAAGGCCCATACTACGATTTCTTCTTAGCGCTTTGGGAAGAATTAAGAAGCGTTATAGACATTAAGGCTGCATTTAGAAGTTATTGTTGAATTTGAGAAGCGTTAAACATTAAGGCATCATCGATGAGATTTTTCATCAAACCGTAAAAAAGTTATTGTTGAATTTCAAAAAACATAGAGTTTATCGATGTAAAACTTTACTTTTGATGTGGTTTTACATCGATTTATGACATAAAACTCCACTCCATCCAAATATTGACAAATCTAAAGCAGAGTAGAGTTTTACACCGATCTTGATTTACACTCCATCTGTACGCCTAGAAAACCGAACCAGTGTAAACTTTTACATCGATGACGTTTTAGAAAGTCCGCATTTTGTGCACCCATGTATTGGACGAGTGCACCAAGCAACCAGAACCGGTCATGTCGATGGAGTGGGGAAGAGGTAGGTTAACAGGATTTTGCCCATCAACTAAAGGTGTTCGGTTCAACTGGACACTAAAAGAAAAAATTGTTTCCTCTCTCTCTTCTTCCTCCTCCTCCTCCTCCTCTTCTTCTTCTTCTTCTTCTTCTTCTTAGTGAGTGGCAGTTAGGGGTGACAATTTTTCTCATCCCCGATGGGTACCCGGGCTCCCCGACCCGATGGGGTCAGGTTCGGGGACGGGGATGGGGAATGCAATTCCCACCCCACCCCGGCCCTGATTAATATATATAATATAATATTATTATATTATTTATATAATATTTATATAATAATATTATATATTATTCATTTTTTTAAAAGATTAAAACTTAAAAACAAAAACTAATACTATCACTAAAAAACTCTTGAGTCAAGACTCAACTCTACCACTCGACAATCAACACATAGAGAACCCTAGTTCTTCACTTCTTCTTCCTTTGTCTTCATTGCCGACCGTCGTCGTTGTCGCCACTCGCCCATCGGACATAGGACGTCGAACGTCTATCATTGCTGACTACCACTCAACAGAGGATAGAGAGACTCAAAGAAGAAAGAATTAAAAACTAAAACCCAGTTCTTCAATCTTCCTTCGTCTATCGTTGCCTGTCGGACTCTCTCTCGTCGCCGATCTCAACTTGCAAAGATCCTCTCTCTCTCTCTCTCTTTTCTTAGACTCTCAGTCTCTCTTTCTCTCAACTTTGACTGATTTCGATTAGAAAGCAACCACATCAGGCTCCTTTGGACAAACAACCACATCAGGTTCTATCAGCATATGGTAGAGAGGCTCCAATGGGTGTCCATTCTTCATCTAATGTGCCGCAACAAGCACCAGTCATTACACAGGTAATGATTAAACCTATAAAAAGAAAAGAAATGGGAAGATAATTATCATTGGGTGTTCTATTAGTTCTATCTCTAGAAACCATCCAAAGCAGGCCCATAATTTTCTCCATGGAAAATTTGAACTGCAACGCAAAATCCAACTTTCTGTTTGTGGGATTAATTGCCACATCCGGGATTCAAGTCTACGATGGGGAATTCACCCATCGGGGTTGGGGATGGAGGAGAATTGCTTTCCCTCGAGGGGAATGGGGGGTGATTTGGGGGTCGGGATCGGGGATGGGGAATATAATTCCCCACCCATTGCCATTCCTAGTGGCAGTAGTGATAAGGTACCTTACCACCAACTAAAGTACCTTACCCACGGACTTAGATCATGTCTCCCAAACTTGAGATGAGATGAGAGAAACCTTAACCTCGCCACATCCACTTGGGTAAGCAGCCCACATACATAAATGAAAAGGGTCTCTCAAAGTTGTATAATCTGCAGCCTCAAACTCGTAATCTTAGAACAAAGAAACCCATCTTCGTTATTTCAATTTTCGCATAAAGGAAAAGCGTCGAAAGTTATGAATAAAAGCTAAATAAATTAGTTAGGAAAGTTCACCGAAATATGGGGAAAACAAGCATTTCCTCTTCATATTAACGGACAAATGGAGCTTTTACAGTCACCCTTTAGCCATCTCCCGGCCGGTCACCACACATAGAGTCTTCATCACCTTAAGATTCATGAAAGGTCGAGAGAGAGAGAGAGAGGCAAGATGGCATTCGTCTGGACCTGCACCTGCATCACATCTCCACCCCACAAGGGGCCGCCTCACAATGCCCCACATCACATCCCTGCTATGTATTAGGAACATCTCCCGATGATGACATCATCAGTTCTAGTATTATCATGATGTTCCTAATACATGGCAGGAATGTGTTTGCGGGGCATTGTGGAGCGGCCCCTTGTGGGTTGGAGATGTGAACTTCTTTGGCTGAGTTTAGGAGTATAAATACAAATATGTAGAGTGCAAAACCTTATATTTTGTATTATTTTGTATTTGTACTCTTTCCAAACTGAGCCAAGGTGCTTGTGCTTCTCTTTATTTTGTCTCTTTTTTTAGAAATAAATGAACACACAGAGAGAACTTAGGTGCACTACAGGTGCAAATGCCGACACATGCAACATATTTTAGAAATAAATGAACACACAGAGAGAACTTAGGTGCACTACAGGTGCAAATGCCGACACATGCAACATATTGACTGTCAACACAGGTCCAGATCTCCTACCCACACAAACTCTGCCCACATTTATCGCAGCCACACATGGAGAACATCTCATCCTCTGCATAGTATTATGCAGGGGGAGATGTTCCCAATTCACGGGTAGACCTGTTCATGGGTCGGGTAGCCCGATGGCCCGGCCTGGCCCAGCCCGCACCCTGGTTGGGCTTGGTCATGTAATTAGGCCCACAGGCCTAACCTCGGGCCTAACACAGTAAGCCCGACTGTGTTTTGGGTCGGGCTCAGGATTTGTCAAAAAAGCCCGACCTGAGCCCGGCCCGGTCCGACTCAATATTATATATTTTATAAAATACATAATATGTATTTTATATATTATATAAACTATATAAATAATATAATATTTATTAAAATATATATATATATATATATTTATAATTTAATATATACATTATTTATTTTTTTTCTTTATAATTTCTCTCTCTCTCTATCTCTATTCGATTGTTTCAGTAATAATAACAGCATGGACTAAATTTCGGGCTCGGGCCCAGGCCCAGGCTTCGGGCTTTTTATGAGAGCCGGGCTCGGGCTCGGGCCTTAGAAAAATTTGTTAATACAGAGTGAAAGCCCGGCCCGAACCCGGCCCATGAATAAGTCTATTCACGGGGGTAATGTGTTGTGGGTAGACGTGGGCAGTAGATCCGAATTCCACAGAATCGACCTGCCCGATTCTGGTTCGTTGGTGCACTCATTCAGTGCACAGAACGCGGACTCCGTTTTAGATGCTTCCAAACGCAGCCTAAGTACCAACGGTAGAAATGCAATTGAAAAGGAAAGTGTTAATTGGTCAACAGTCAACACCGTCTACGGCAAACTCAGCATTCGTTCCAATCCCATCAAGTTCATTCCTCCATGGGCGTGCATCCAGCATGAATCATTTGTCATTTTTGTATTAATTTAGAAACTTCTCCAGGGATGTTGGCAAATCCATATGGAAAATATTGTTTTTTATCGTTCTTTTTTCTTCTTGAATCCATGACTAAGATGCTAAGCGGAGATAAGAGGGGATGGAGAATACCCTCATCGTCAGATACCGAAAGCTCCTTATGCAAGCCGAATTTAATGTTTTGTTGAAGCACATCGCTACTGATCCAGGTTTCATAATTCATTTGTCCATCACGTCAAGGTCTCCTGTATAGATATGTTAATTGCAGAAGCCATTGACAGATTGACCGACACAATCCATATGCGAGATTTCTAGTATTTGTTTCTTTACCAACATTCTTTAGATGTATGTCTCCTGGTCTGTGCTCTGCAGAGTGTACTGGTATACGAACAAATACCTTCGCAAGAGAAAAACGTCCAGAGTCCAGACGCCTATACTACTAAATTTGCAGGTAATAGTAGAAGGGATGATAAATATCACCATCACTCCATGTCTTTCTCAACGTACTAATTCATAAGTTGAACCTAAGAAGCATTCGGTATCTCTTTCGTCTTTCCTTCATGGTTCCTTTTGAAAATTTGATGGATAATGAAGGGTAAAAGCGTCTTTTGACGGACACACGGTATATTTAAGTTCGGTCACAAGCCTCAGGTTGTGTGAATTGTCAAAACACCTTCAAACCCACTGCTCGACATTTTAAAATCTTGTTAGGAGCGAGCGTAGAAAAAATGGCGGGGATGGGAGATGGGTATGTGGGCACCGCCCAAGATGCAGTGAGGATAAGGAGGTTGGAGAAACAAAGAGAAGTGGAGAGGAGGAAGATCCAAGAACTCAAGAACAAGTCTGCTTCTGCAGGTGGCCAGACCGGTCTCCTCCAATTTGGCTCCGGTACTTCCGAGGTATGTAACCCTCTCTTCCTTTCCCTTCTACAAGAAGAAAAAAAAAAGACAAAATAGAAAAGAAAAGATAAAAAATCCCACTTTTCAGGATTCTAGGGTTCGTTTCTTTGGCAAATCTGACAAATTTGATTTTGGGTTTATTTTTATTTTAAACTTTTCGTTTGATTTTGGTATACCGGCATAAATGAATGTTTTATTTTGGGTATCATCATGTGGATTTTTTTGAAATATGGCGTTTTTGTATGGTTTGTTTCAGATACTTGAGACTGCATTTAAAAAGGAGACTGTTGGGCTTGTTACAAGAGAGCAATATGTTGAGAAGGTAAATGGGCTTTATGTTGTAACTTTGTTATAACAAGATTGCTTAATTTTTTGTTTTGGTTTTTCCTTGTTACTACTATTTAAAGAGGCATATGGTATGCCTAACTGGCTATGTTGGTATGTTTGTTTAAATTTTCACAGAGGGTTAATATTCGTAACAAGTTTGAGGAAGAAGAGAAGGAGAAACTTCAGAAGTTGCAGCAAGAGTGAGTGGAATCTTAGTCATTCTCTATCATGGTTCTTTGAAGTTGCTCTGATAAAAAAGGTTGTTTGAAGTTGGATTTTTGGTTAAGAGTTTTACTTTTTGATTTCATACTTGTAGAGAGGAAGAGCTTCAATTGCAGAAACGTCAGAAGAGGAAGATAAGAGGGAATCCACGCCTATCTTTTGCTGATGATATTGAGAATGGAAGTGATGAGGAAAATGGGGAGAATAGTGAGCATGATTTCTATCTTATTTTTTAATTACCTGACGTTATTAAATAAGTTCATCATGATACGCATATCATTTTCTACATGCTAGCTAATTTTAATCTTTTCTTCATGCAAATCTGGGTCGTGTCTCTCTTATATTTCTCTTTTATGTGGTCTTTTCCATTTTTAATCTAATGTGTGGGGTGGCATCTTTCATAGTGATGTACTGAAAGACCTCAAATACTGATAAGAAGCTCCAAAACATTTTGGCATAAACCAAAAGACCTCAGATACTGATAAGAAACCACTCCAAAATCCTCTACAGGGCATATGGACGAAGAAGATTGTTCTTTTTGATTCCTTATCGACTAAGGAAGGAATGTAATCATTTCATAAGGAATTTGAAGGACTTAATATGGATGATGATGGAGATGTACTTAATTTAGGTGATTGCACTTTATGGAACATGGATCCTTTTAGAACTGGAGGTTCCTTTCAAAATCAAAAGTGTTTTATTTCATTGATAATTGTTTGGTTGGGCTAATCTTGTGATTCTAGTGGAGTTGAAGCTCTTAATCTTTTCCATGGGCCTCAGAAATGCTAAGGATCTTAAGATTAGAGAAGGTGGTTGTTGATGCCATAAATAAGAAAACAGTACAGAGAGGTCTGATGAAGGTTGTCTCATTTTTCTTGGCCTAAAGCTTCCAATTTCACTGATTCACATTTTTGTATCTGGTATACTTTTCAAGTTTCGCGAATGCTCATATACTGTACAAATCACTGTAAGGGGAGTTTCTTCCATTTACCTTCTCTCTCTCACTCAAAAAAAAAAAAAAGATTTTGAGATCCCCCGCTTTCAACTAATGTTATGCATCTTTATTCTTCTGAATATAAAAGATTTTTATTAAAAATAAAGAAAAAATGAGATCCCCCCTTCCTCTTCATCCTCCTCCTAATCCCCCTCTTAAGGAGGCTTACGCCTCTTGTGTTCTGAACTACGCGTCACGCCTCTAGGTAGTGGAATACCTTGCGTCACGCCTCCGCGTTTTAAAACATTGCTTTGAACAAGGCTTAACCAACACAGCAAAGAGTGAAATTGAACTTCGATGGGAGTTCAAGAGGTAACCCGGGCCCTTCAGGTATAGGAGGAGTATTCAGAGATGAAAATGACAGAATTGTGGCTTTGTTTTCAGGACCAATAGGAGTGGGGGACTCATTGAGAGCGGAGGTGATGGCCTTGCTTCAAGGTGTAAGATATGCCAAACAATTGGGGTTACACCAAATTGAGATAGAGGGAGACTCTAAATTGTTGATTGAGTGGCTGCAACCTAGTAAGTTGGGAGCTTGGATTTATNAACCTAGTAAGTTGGGAGCTTGGATTTATAGACAGCCCATAAGGGAAATCCTCAACATAACAAGGGGGATCAGTGCATGCTTCAAATGGACAAGGAGATCAGCTAATGGTTTAGCTGACACGTTGGCTAAACAAGGGACTGTGAGGGAGAGAATGTTCTGGGCAGTTTTGTAAGAAAGATTGCTGGGGGCTCAACACCTACTTAGGGGTTGACAACTGTACTTAAATCTGGAAAGTTATTCTTAAGTTATATTAATGAAGTTACTGTTTCCAATAAAAAAAAAACAAGGCTTAACAGCTCAGTCAGTGGGCCTATTTCCCAATCATTGAGGTTCCTTTGACATGTAGGACCCCAAATAACCTCCCCCATTCATAAAGCAGTCTTCAACCACAACATCCTTATCTTGTGCAACATCAAAAAGAGAAGAAAACCTTTCTTGTAGGACCAGGTGCCCACACCACTGGTCATGCCGGAATTTGAGGTTATTACCTTTACCAACCTTACACTTGATGCCCTTCAAGAAATTAGGGAGAATAGAATTGATAAAAAAAAAAGAAATTAGGGAGAATAGAGGCTATATTGCTTCACAGAGTGCACTCCTTTGGGGATAGACCAGGGCTTGAGTCCTAATCAAGGTTTGTGAGCCCGTATTTATCTTCAATGATCCTTCTCCATAGGCTCTCTCTCTCTCTCTCTCTGCTAAATCTCCAACACCATTTACCAAGAAGAGCCTTATTAACCACTTTAATATTTTTGATGCCTAGGCCACCAGTTTTTCTTGGTTGGAACACAAGATTTCCAGTTCACCAGGTAAAATTTAAAACTGTTGGTCAATCCAGCCCAAAAATATGTTTTGCTGTTCCCTGTTCTTTTGACTTTGAAAGAACATCAGCAAGCATTAAGTGGCTCTAAGCAGTGTTGCATGGACACAAATATGATAATCAGATTCTGAAGTGTGTCTGGGAGTCTGATTGGGCAAGTATGAATTTTAACCAAAACAGAATGGAAAAACAGGATTCATCTAGTTGACCCAATATATTTGGATTTGGATATGGTTAGATGATGGTGATATTTTGTTGAATTTTAATTTTATAATCCTATGGAAAGGTTTTTAAAAGCTTACTTTGTTACTTAATAGCATTTATTGGAAAAATGGCATTCAATGTGTACATTAACTTTTCATTTCAGAAAAAAGAAGTTCATTTCTATGGAACAAACAATGAGAGAAAGAGAAATATAATGTAGAAGTGCCCCTCAAGAATATCCTTGGAGGACTTCCAATGGGATGACAAATGTGCTTGCAAAACAAAAAGTTGAGAGGCCTCTTCTATTTTGGGCAAAATTGTAATATGATGTAATATGAGATGGGGAAATGATTTAATGACTGTGTTTGTCTTCCTCTTTGTAATTATCTTCTTGCTGAATTAATGAAGTTGTTAATGATAAGAAAAATGATTTATTGACTACTAAATTTTATGAATTATTAATGAAATCCTTTTACTGATAAAAAAAGGAATCCATGGAGTGTCAGTATCAAAGTGGACACTTCATTCATTTAGCAGAGTCCATGCATCAGTCTCCAAGAAGTTCACCTCCTGCAACATGTTATCCAACCTAAATGGCCCAGGGCAGCATGATAAATTACCAATGTTGAGAACAATTGGGGTGTGTTTGGAAAGGTTGTAGCAGTATTTCTTACAAAGATCTAGGATAGAGGTTTTCCTATTAGCAGATATAGAAAACAGTTGAGTTTCCTATGAAGTGTTAGGATAGGGGTTTTCCTATTAGCAGATATAGAAAAGTTGAGTTTCCTATAAGTGTTAGGATAGAGGTTTTCCAATTGATACACCACCTTTTGTTCAAATGCTTATTGTCTGTTAGAGTACACAAAACAGGGGTATTTTGGTCATTTGGGTTTATCTATTTGAGAGTGAAAGGTCTGTTTTATTTAAGTTTAAGTTATGTGTCCCATCACTTATGAGGGACAATATGGTCTTTCTTGTAACTATGCTATTGGAGATAAATACAAGTGGGTCGACTAGAGAGATGACTGATTTTTCCTCTACTGGCCAAACCCTTCTTCTTCTTCTCCTTCTTCTCTACTGTAAGCTAGGACTAAATAAGGTTTTCACATGGTATCAGAGCGCATGTAACAAGTTCAGATCTGCTCGTCTTGCTCCTTTATTCTGGTTTACCCAGTTTTTTTTATCGCCCTCCTCTCTAGGGTTTTGCGGATTTCTCAAGAATCACTGGGAGATTAAGGGAAAGGTTGAAAAGGAGTGGTCATTTTTCTCTGTAGGAGGCCTTCATGCCTCCGGTTTGTGGTGATTGGTAGGAAGCTCTCTATTTGATGGTATGAAGAGAGCAGGTTCAGGTGAACAGTGTTCAACTGAGTACAAGTTGGTTCTGTAGAGTGCAGTGTAAGTGTTTGATTTAATGGCTGAGTGATTTCAGCCCTTGTATTTGGTGTGTGAGTGGTTTTGCAGTGTGCAGTACAGGTGTTTGATTTAATGACTGAGTGATTTCAGCTTTTGTATTTGATGTGTAATGTGTATTTGAAGAAGTTGGTGGTGCTGAAAGTGAGATGAGTTTTGTGGAAGTGCGTGAGGTTGTGTTGAATATTTGAAGGTGAATACTCTACATATAGTAGTGATTTCTTTGTGAGGTAAGGTGAATTAGTTAAGATGACATCGATTGGAGATGGGAATGACAATAAAATAGGCGTTATGATTTCTTCAAATTACCTAAATGTTCAAATGACATCTATTAAGTTGAATGGTGAGAATTATGTGCCGTGGGAAAAATCTGTGGAGGTGTTTTTAAAAGCTAAGAAAAAAGTAAAACATGTGAGAGAGGAGAAATCCTCCTCTGATTCTCTAGGGTTTAGTGACTGGGAAGAGGAAGATGCACAAATAATGGCATGGCTGTGGAATAGCATGATACCAAAAATTAGCGTGAACTTTATGTTCGTATATATAGCTAAAGAAATCTGGGATCATGCTAAGAAACTGTATTCCGGACAAAACAATACAACTAGGGTGTATCAGTTGTACCAAGAGTACTTTAATTTGAAGCAAGGCAGTCAAAGCTTGGAGGAATACTATGCAAGTCTGAGGAATATCCGAAATGAGCTCAATGTGTATCGTTCTCTGACACAGGATGTTCAGATTCAGCAACAATAGCGTGAACGACTTGATGTGACAAGGTTTCTGGTGGGTTTGAAGGTTGAATATGAGTATGTCCGAGCACAAATACTAGGGGGGTCTGCTCTTCCCTCACTTGAAGAAGTTTTTGCCCGTCTTAGGAGGACATCTATTGAGTCTATAGAGCATTCTTCTTTCTCAGACAAATCTGGTTTTGTGGTGACTAGAGGGAATGGAGGTTGGGACTTCCAGGTAACCGTGGTGGTCCCATGTTTAACCGTGCTGGTGGCCGGAGTGGAGGTCGGGACTCAGGGGGAGGTCGTGGTAAAGGAAGAAGTAATGCCCCTAGGAAGTGTGCATACTGTGGATTAGAGGGGCACACGGTTAATTTCTGCTATGATTTACATGGTCCACCCAACA